TGTGTGTGTGTGTGTGTGTGTGAGAGAGAGAGAGAGAGAGAGAGAGAGAGAGAGAGGCCACCCACTCATATACATAAAATCCACAAAACCAATTTTCAAAAGCCCCTAACTCAAATCAAACCAGCTTTGCTTAACCCTCAGCTAAATCTCTTCAGTACAATAAGGTACTGAAAATAAAAAATGAAACAATGGGTATCAGAAATTCCACCCGACCACCACGACAGCCTGCATCAAAACATTGCTCTCAAAATGTTAGACATTGTCTCTGAAAAAGGTCTTCGGGGTAAGGGAAAATACAAATACCAAAACTGGTAGACGTATGCTCAACCATTTTGTTTCTTATACCAAAACAAAAAACAAAAAAAGGAAATATAACACCGCATGTTAGATTGGCCACAGTAAATCTTGAATATATATACATTAAGCACCTAACGCAAATTTCATTTTTCACATTTCCAAATATTGCATTGATTTATTTTTTCCATATCATTATGCATGTCAATTTTGCAAACTTTGTTAAACACATTAAAACCAAAGAACCAGAAAATTCACAACAGCCAGAAATTGCAGAATGCAATGACACACCAGGATTTTTAAAAGTCTCCGATGTTGGTAGTGCAGGCAATGACATCTCTGCAAAATACAGTTATAGCAATGAGGACATGAATTTCATGTAAAAAGGCAAATATGATATTTGTAGAACCTCAGTAGTATTTTATTGTATACTGCAACTATTTTATTTTTTCAAAAGAGAAATTGCATACTGAACCTATTAAGGGAAAAAAGAAAGGAAAATCATTCTTTGTCCAATCACTTACCAGGCCCACAAAGGGAGAACGAGGAAATTGAGGATGACGAAGGCCATGGTGCTGCAATGTTGTCACTCAAATCACATGTAAAGCTGTAGCCGGTTAAATTGTCAAATATCATATCTGAGGGCAAGCTTCGAAGTAGACACCCTACATTTGAACAAAAACCAAAATTATAAACTTTATAAATATAGTTGATGATCATACTCCAAGGACCTACTTTGGTTGCCGTCAAGTACATGTAAGGGAACATGAAATCCAACTTCACTCAAGAACACCGAAACAGTTTGAATCATCGATCTATCGTATGGAGTGTGACCCACAAAGTGTGCCTTAAGTAGTGCTATTTGACAAATCCCTCAACTAAAGCTCATTTCTTGCCAGACATCTAGCAATAGAACATTACTCTACACACACAAACAGATATTAACCACCTTAGCTAATTGACATCCATTTGATGTCATAGAGTTAGACTATGAATTAAGACTTGAAATTTAGACAGTCGGATCACTAAAACACAATGAAGAGTGGGTTCTCCAAGGGTGCCCCTCAAATTATTTGAGGGATCCCTCAATTGAAGATCCCTTATCATAGAGCACACTCAAAGTGATCCACGGAAAATGCCCAAGAAAACTTTTTAGTCACACATAAGGCGTGCCAATTACCAGATGCGGTGCTCTATGGGAAACACCTACTGGAAAGTATAAAACCATTCCAATGCTATAGGCACAATATTGGATACCAAGCAATCACAGATGAATATAGAAACAAAATAAGGAAATTGGATAGTAAAAAAAGAGCATACCTTCTTGACCATATGCTGCTTCAGAGCCCAAAGGGATACATCCATAAATAAAAAGATATATCAGATATAATGAAGGAACAAATAGTGGTAAAAACTAGAGAGGAATGACATATAGCAGGATGTACCTTGAATGCTAAAGTCTTTCAAGTCAACATCACAAAGCTCATAAATATTAGACATGACCCCTCCTTTCCTCAACATGGACCCAAACATTGTAGCACAGACTATAGCTTGTCTATTTGTAATTAACATTTGCTTTTGTATTCCAGCAATGTAAGCGTTTAATGAGCTACAGCAGGAAGGACCGGGGGCAGCAACATTGCGACATTCTTTAATCACTTCCGTAGGCTGCTTAAAATCCAAAGGGCAAACTGCACGACCGAGAATCATTTTCATGAGAGGCAGTACAAATCAAAGAACACATGTAACTGTAACCATCGCACTGTTACAAACCACATATGATGCATAGAGTCGATCAGGGGGAAAAAGAAAGAGATGTACAAGATAAAGCAAGCCTAATAGAATACATAATCAAACTTAAAAACTGCAGAGCAAAAGCAGGTGAACACACCCACCCCACCCCCACAGCAACTCAGCTGCTGCTGCCAGCCCAAACCACCACCCAAAACTCCCAAACCCCAACCTCTGGCAACCACGCCAAACCACCCATCTACCCCATAAGCATTGTCATGAATGATGGTCCTAATTGTAATTTGCATGATTACAGTAGAAAAAAGAAAAATTAATAGAAGTATACAACTTTTTTTATGCATCCGACCTTGCAAATTTAATACAACATAATTCTTTGCACCCTCAAAATGCACAACAATAGGCGCGCACGCACGCGCAAGAGAGAGAGAGAGAGAGGTAAAAACAAAACTTAACAAGAAATAGATGCTGAACCCAAAGTGCGTAAGTCTAAAATGAAAAGTTGTTCATTTCATACTTTAACACGTACCCTTGTTAACTTTGCAGGCAGATAATATTCGAAATGCAGTATTTACAGCATCAGGCGAGAGTTTCCTTGAAAGATAGGTAAAAACCACTCCTTTACAGTCAGTCAAAGTATCAACATGAGATAACTCACCCACCAAATTCTTATTCTCGTTCAATGAAAATTGTTTTCCTGAAATCTTAAGTGCAGCATCCATGATTGCAGGCTGACAAATTGGTCTGCAGCACTCTTTAAGAGGATCAACAGTTGTGCAGGCCTCCAGTAATCTGCTTGCATTTACTGCTTTCTCAAAGGAAACAACATCCTTCACTGGACAAGACCCACCTGTAAGGTTTGATGAATTTATGGAGCAAAGTGTAGGTATTGTACTGTTCGCACCCCTACTGGCTAAGATATTGATAATGTCTGTAAAACAATCATTTGCAACCGAATTTTGCAAAGCCAACTTATCGGATGTGACGCTATAGAGACCCTGGAAGATGCGGATCAAACTGCTAAACTGTGGGCAACATATCACATTTCCTACAACTGCTGCCAAGGGTAGAGAACAATCAGATGCTGTTTTGTCCATGATACTTGATATAGTAGAGAAATTTACAGGACATTTCCCAGTTAAAACAGGCTCATATCTAGTTGGAAAAGTTGGGTACATTGGTGGAAGAGGCTCATCAGGATCTGTGAAATGTGGAATAACAGCAGGTGATATTTCTATGGGACCAAAGAGTCCACTAGTAGGTGGTTTAGCTAGATCTGGAATGGAAGAAACATGACTTTGCTCATAGACTGTCTGCAATGCCACTGCTTCTTGAAAACTTGATAACCAGATAAAGAATAATAATAACTGACAGCACAGAGAACCTGCAACCACACATAAACCTATCTTCAGAGAGTAGCAAGGACATATAATACTTCTTACCCTAAAGAATGTAACGCAACGATAATACACAACAAACATGTATCTAAAACTGAGGCACATGCAATTCAGTCATATGTGTGTATGAGAAAAAGAGAGCAAAGTTTTCAGTCAAATGAGACTGCATCCATTTTCTTATTCATATGTTTGTCTTATATATATATAAACATAAGAGCAACTGTTTCGTCCAAAGGGAGAATACTGCACAAGCCAACCATAACCAGCAGTTTATCATTGTGTTATTCCAGTCAAACTTGTTCATTCATGGCCCTTCATCTGACTATGGCTCCAAACATGTGTACAAGCATCTCCATCACTTATTCTTTAACTAATAAACAAACAAAACTCATTGTGCCTTTTGTGTTCATATAGTCAAAACAACAGCACAAATGCATCTTTACCAGAACATTAAACCATGAGTTAGACACATAGTCAATCCGTCCTATCTACAGCCACACTTCCTGCCAAAAAATAAATAGCAGCAAAAAAACAAGGGAGATTGGGAATGTTCACTGAGATAGCCAGATGCATGAAGACAATCACAGAACATAGAGACAGCTATCAGATTCCAAGTGAGAATCCAGTACAGATCACACTCCAAGTAGTTCATTCCTCCAAAAAAGGATAATCTTATTCTAAATTTGGAACAATTAATCGTCAAACAATAATCATTAAACCATGATGCCTTTTTGATAGACAAGCTGCTAAAAAAAACACAGAACCATACACTGCAAGTTTAAAATTACTTGGAAGATAAAGGTTACCAAAAGAATTAATTTAAGGGAGATGTCTGACAATATATCACCACTACACTACAGGATGAGACTTATTTCATAGTCATAACAGTACTACAGTAGTGAATGAGACTACAATATATTACCACACTTTATGTAGTCATATCATCTAAAAACCAAACTTATGCTTCACTGACATTTCCCATTCTTTTCCTTCACCCTACTGAAAATTCCAAAGCAGGCTAGGTAGAATTAATTACAAGCTTACCTTTGAGATGACTAACAGTTTGAAAGCAGTCCATAACTAGCCCTCTGGTGTCATAGAGATTTACATAAGTAATCATTACAGTAGTTGGTGATATGCCCAAAAACAGCTCAGGTCAATGAAGCAATACCTGTGCCACCTTCAAGCATCAGCAAATGCATAAGGGAACATTATTAACTCCTACAGAGTGCAGATAAAAAAACATAAAACACATTAATATTTTCGGCAATCACAGCAATAAAGGAAACACTAGCGACAAAATTTGTGAATTTCAAGTATCAGGAATAATATTGCCTCTCACAAAATGAAATCTCCAAAACACAAAGAAGAAGAATTTAAGTTGTTGGCACAGCGGCAATAATTTTTATTGACCAAGAACACTGCTAGCTACATCTTTAGCCTTATGAGAACATCTTGTCTCATGCAAGCTTCAAAAATTAACAGAGAGAGAGAGAGAGAGAGAGAGAGAGAGAGAGAGAGAGAGTCTACACAGCGGACTTATATTGCGTAGTTTGAAACATTAAGAATATCAATGCAACTAGAAGTACTAAAATGAAGTTTTACGATTAGATTAACTGTACCAGAACTAGAGTATATAGACATCCTAACGGAGGGTTTTTATTTACCCTTTGGTTCTAAGCTCATACGTTCAGAAAGATTATGGCAAATCCACCTGTTTTAGGATACACAACCACCACCTCAGATCATATTAATCAAAATTCTAACTTTCTAGTAAGCCTAGTATTGATGGGTCAACTACTGTAACCACTCAAGGTGAGTTGCTTCATCTTTTCAGAAAACAAAGCACACAACAACGATACCATCTAAAATTTCATTTCACAGCAATGAAGCTAATGATAGATCATGAAATCAAATTATTATTATTTCTAATTTAAAAAGCGGAAAAGGATAAAAGAGCAGCAAAAAAAATCTGAAAATACCCAGATAGGACGTATCTGAGATATCACTCACGGAGAGAAATTGAACATAATGTAGCTCAGAGTTCCCATTCTTTTGGCAGCAGAGAAATGGAAAGAGAAGGCAATGAAAGGAACAAAATTCAGAAACAAAACTTAAGATTCACAGTTTTCCAATTGAGGAGAAAATTGAAAAAGCAAGCACAGCTACCTACCACCAAATCTTTTCTGGTATTTTCCAACACTTTGGCCACCAAGCAGCAGATGAATTAGAGATATCCAAGTACAAGAAAACCAGAATAAACAGAAAAGTACCTGAAGATGTTGAACCCATAGAACATAGATTTAGTGAGAAATTGAAAGGGTTCTGGGTTTGGATCGGAAGCTCTAGCAGGCACTCATTGCTTGGGGGTAGTAACTTTGAGGTGTAGGAAACCAGTCAATTTGGAAACCCTAACCGGAGCGGAGCTGAGCCTGCTGAGGTGAGCTTTGAAAGCATGAAAATGGTGGTCTCTCTCTCTTCCACTGTGTTTACTTACTGCTCGTGGGGGTGGATAAAGTGGACGACGAGCCGTTCTTGGTGCGTACAGGCGTATGAGCCGTTAGAAGAAATTGGACCGTGGAGATTAAAACATGGCTTTAGTTAGGTTTCACGTAGAAACGGGTAAAACAAACCCCATACACCCACCCAATCCAACCCGACCCGACCCAAACAAAGCAGATCCTCTTCTTCCTCTCTCTCTCCACCTTTTTTATGCCTTTTCAAGCAAGATGATTCAAAACAAACAGAGATTATTTTGCATTGACTTTGGCCAATTTTATGTAGGCAAATAATATTGGAATTATGTGGGTATCTTACTGGAGTGCAAAATAGATGAAGTAAAAGAGGAGATCAATCACTTATCAAAAGAGGAAGCTAACGTGCATGCATAGGACTGTGGAGAAGTTAAATTCAAGGAGGAAAATAAATCCTAGGTGGTTAGGGTTTGACTATTATAAAAGAGTGCTACTTGCCCTGTCTCGGGGATTTTGCCTTTTAGCCCAAAACACTTTATTTTTCTAGAGTTATTTTTCTTTTTTTATGGAGAACTAACTCCCTAGCTAAGGCTAGGGGGAAAGCCTTTGAGATGCTATGTGGTTTCGTCAGTTTGATTTGAATGGAGCTTTAATGTTAAATTCTTATTTATGGATTTGTTCAATTTAATTTTAGTTTTTCTCTTTGATGGATTGATGGGTGCTTGATAATCTTATTCATAGGTTCAGTCATGCTTTCCTATAGTTTAGTAAAACATTCATGCTTTCCTATAGTTTAGTAAAACATTCATGCTTTTGGGATTTGAGAAAAAATAGTATATTGCTTTGATTTCATTGAAATTATTTATTGATTGGTTGTTGTTGTAGGTACAGGTTATGCTTTAAATTCTTTCTAAACGAAATTAAATTGGGTTTTAATTGTGAACAATCATAGTGAGAATCAAACTAATGGGATTACATATGTATTTTGAAGGTAGAACCCTGACGTCTTAGTGTTTTATTATTATTGAACTTTCTTCTAATCGTTTAATATCCTATTCTTCTTGTTGCACTTATCTTAAGTATTTTGTGCACTTTAATACCGCTCTCTGTGGATACGATACTCGACTTAAGAGATTTACTATTGCGTGACACTTGCACTTGGGTTTAGCAAGCAGAAAGTATAATTTTGAGACTACATGGAATCTAATCAAAATGAGAAAATCATAGCTTTGAGAAAAATCAATATACAAAATGATAAAAATAAAAAATAAATATAATAAAAATTTTATATTAGGATCAATTATTACTCTCTAATTTCTCTTATTTAAAATTATATTTTGGCACATTTTTTTTTTTCTGTTTTGTTGTTCGATAGGGAGGGGGATGGAGGAGTATTATATTGGGTTGTCTCAAGATTGTCTTCTACGTTAATTGAACCAGAGGGGGAGGATTTGGCCCACTTTTCCATTGTGGTGCCACCCCATGTTCTATTTTGACACTTCATTGTCAAAGATAATGTCATAGGAGTTTATAGCATTTTTCGGTGTATTTTTCTAATTTCTTATTAAATTTTTTGTTGAAACACAAAAAGTAAATAAAAAGACACATGGCGGTACTCAAGGCAACACCCATAAGAAACAATTACAGCCACCATTTAGCATTTGCCACGTATCATTATTTTCCTTTTAGTTATCATATTTCCATGTTTTAACTTTGAAAATTTGTGATAAATACAATAAAAATCAGAAAAATACACTAAAAATTCGCACGAACTCCTTGTGACATTTTCTTTGTCCCTAAGAGCATCTCCAGCGCAGGAGAAGAACCGGGCAAAAGGCCCCCCTCACAAGCCCAAGCAGCTCCAGCGCTGCAGCCTGCAGCCCGGTTTGGAGTGGGTCCCACCAGCCCGGGCAAGCCCAAGGGCAGGTTTTGCCTGGGCTTCAAACCGAGTTTTGTCTCACGCTGATGTCAGCGAGCAAAAAAATATTTAAAAAAATTCAAAAAATATCCAAAAAATGCTTCAAACCGAGTTTTGTGACGTCATGCTGACGTCACGCTGATGTCAGCGAGCAAAAAAATATTTAAAAAAATTCAAAAAATATCCAAAAAATTTTCAATTTTTTTTTTTAAATACCAAAAAATTATAGATGCTTTCCCTATAAATACATAACAATTTTATTCACTTTCTAAATTGTTTATATTTTGTTGCATAATATTTTTTTCCTTTCTTGCCTTAGACTTGCCCTAGACTTAGCCCTTGTGGGTGGAACCACAAATGCAAAGGCTGATACTATTCACGTGAATAGTGGCAGCCCTTGCTTGCCATTGCCTTAGACTTAGCCCTTGTGGGTGGAGATGCTCTAAAGCTGCAAAATACTCATTTTGAGCAATAAAAATGGAAAGTAACTACCCAAACTCAATTTTGTTATAATATTTATAATTTTTTCGACACTCCTTGTGATGGAACATGGGGCTTAGGTTTTTTCTAATTTAATATATTCGTTTTTGTGTGTGTTTATATGGGTGTATGATATTTAAATAATTTTTTAACATATATTTTATTTAATTTATGTGGTGTTGTATCATTGAATATGTGAGATCAACATGTGTGTTATGTCATCGATTATTGGATTTTTGGACAAAACCTGACGACAATGACTACTTATGGACCTCTCATGTGAACTTTCATATTAATCACATGATCATTTCATTAAACTTAAGTGAAATTACTATTTAAATGAATCGTGTGGCTAATATGAAGGTCCACATCTATGGTTCATATACGACACCCTCATCATAGAATGACTCTCCAAATCAATGCCTAGCTAAGCCTGTCCATAGGGCCCGAGCTAAACCAATCTTTAAACAACAGGCCGAGCTAAGCCTTCCCCATATTACTGGGTTAGGCCAGCGCATGTCCCAAAAAATGGGTCCAAGTTCGGGTAGCCCATCTGCATAATTATTTACATCCATTTGGGTCTAAGTTCACACATGTTTTATTCTCATGCTACGTGCTAAGTTGTATGTCACAAACTTCTATCTTCATAAATTTTGTACATAAATAACTACATATGCACATTTCATGAATACATGTAGATATCCATTTCTATACAATCATCAAAAATAGGAAAAAAAAAAAAAAGGTGGTATCAACCTCTCAAGCAAGTCAATAATTAGAAGCTGTGACTGCAGAAAAAAAAAATCGAATGATTATTATTCATTCCTATAACCCAAAACATTCTAGTCCATTTTTCTGTCTTGCTATCCTGTTTTCACCTGTAATAGAATGCGCGGCAGTTGAAGCTCCTGTGTCATGTAAGCATGTTGACACCATTCTTATCATCTCGTTCCATAGAGGATGGCAAAATATTCCAATAAACACAGCTTGAGAGACTGGATAGATCCCTTAGTCCCTGGCTGGATTGCAAAACATGAAACAATCGAACTAATTCTAGAGATTTAGAAGATTTAAGAGTTCATAGTTATGTTATAAGAGTAATGCTATTTGGACACACAACATTTACACACTTAGTTGACACCCGATGATGTGTCAATGTATCATTCGCTGAATAGAAAACGAGGAGAAAAGAAGAGCAAATGATACATTGACACATCAGCGGATGTCACTAAGTGTGTCAATGTTGTGTGTCCAAATAGCATTACTCATGTTATTAAGGAGCCAAACAAAACGACATAAATAGATCTGTATTATGAATTATCAAGCACAGAAAGCGGTTTGGTTTAGTGCATCATATGAGAAGAACAGAAAACACAAACACAAATACCAAATTGGAGCAACCGACCAATCTTGGGGAAAACAAACAGAAAACTCCAAACAAAATTAATTTCAATTTAGTGGGTTACCAAATTGAACTATACTCCAAGCCACAAACCAAATGAACGTCAAGGGAGAGCTCCCTGCCACTTAAAACAAAGCATCTAAAGTTGTAATAACAGGGAGGAAAGTGAGAACTGGTTAGGACAATTTGCAATCTTGAAAGAAAGTGACGAACTGGGTTCCATTGTTCCTACCATCCCCACTCCATATTTGCTCTCCTAAAGTCCACTTCCTATTGCTATACCAACCAAAAAGCACAAAAAAAAACACGCAATAAACATAAAAGACTTCTATAGTTCCTACTTCTATAGTGACCTACATGCCCACAGAGTTTTTTATATTCCCTGCACAGAAAAAGGAATGTAGGCAATCAAATGAGGTTACAATAAAAGGAGGGGGCTGCTAACCTCTTTTGAATCCAAAGTACCTTTTTCATCTACTAATCGACCAATTTCTCCTCTAATCCAACATGAAACAAACACAACATTAGAAACCAGTTCTACTATTTTGCAATTTTGTTTAATGATCCATACAAAAATAAAAAGAGCATGAGGGACAGACCCAGGATTTCAAATTGGGGTGGGCTAAATTAACCTTACACACATAGCTATTAAACTTGACAGTATGAAGTGAAATTCATTGATAACAAAAGACTACACCTAATCATGATGACATAATGAGTTTTACCCCTCAAAACGCATCTAGTACATAGTTCTTTTATATTTTCTAAGTGAAGGGGTATGTGAAGTGAAGGGGGGGTTACATTTTACCAAAAAAGAAAATAAGAGGGGTTGTTTTCGACCAAAATAAAAAAGAAGCAGGGGTTTTTTGTGTTTGGCCTTTGGCCCCTTTTGTACCAAAAAGAAAAAGAGAGAAAAAGAGGTGAAGGGGGAATATGAGAGTGCAGTGCAGGGATATTCATTGGGTGGGATGGGTGTATCAGTTTAGGCTTAAAAAGACAAATTCACCTGGGCTATAGCACAGGTTAGTCAAAGAGTAGGTCGTATGCATGCTGGTTCAGAATCTTTTTCACTCTGTAATTGTCCAATTTCCTTCAGTTTGTCAACCTGTAAATCATCAAGTCAGGCATACAATCCGAAAAATATATGCAGAATTGCAGTATGAAATGTGAAAGAACACAATCCTCAACAGATGTCCACTAACTCTTACTCTGCTTATGAACTTAGATAATATTACCTGTCTCTGTATACGTAAATCATGTTGCAACTGTTTTATGGAAACCCCACCCACCCCACCCCCACCCCCCAC